ATTTTTATTATTATTATTATTATTATTATTGTTGTTGTTGTTGTTGTTGTTGTTGTTGTTGTTGTTGTTGTTGTTATTTGTCTAAATATTATAAATGATTGATTGCTTTTAAATGTTTAAATATTTATTATTATTTTTATTAAATAAATATTATTGTTATTTTATTAAATTGGCTAATTGTTAAAATGTGTATTATTATTAAATAATAAATTGTGTTTAATTGAGTATTAGTAATGATATTAATATGTGTTATATATATATGTATGTATATATATATATAATTATTTCAGTTCTAATTTAGTTATCGAATGTTTGAACCGAGCCCGAGTCTCGTCTATTTATTTATGAACTGGCCCAGGTAACCCAACCCGTACCCAGCCACGGTCCAGTTCAACCCACTCGGGATCTCATCTCCTTTTTGTGCGTGTGGTGTGAGTTATCTTGGTTAACAAGATTATTAAACCTACTTATACATATATATATATACATATATGTGTGTGTGTGTGTGTGTCTCTATATCCTTCTCCTCAGAACAACATTATCGCGCCTCTATAGATCGCCCTCCCTCTGCTCGTGATCGGCATCGGAGAAAAAATAAAGAAAGAAATCAAATACAGAAAAAAGAAAGAAAAAAAGAGGAAACCTCCATCGCTCCCCGTCACCAATCTTCACGATCATCGACCTTCATCACTCACCTTTCTTGCCGCCGACCATCGTTTTCCCGCCACCACCATCCTCCATCGCCCTCATCAACACGTCGCGGCCCTTCCCTGCAACTTTCCAGCGAACCAGCAGACCATCACCTCGGCATCACCATCGCCGCCCTGTCCACCGCCGATAAGTCCCAGCAACACCGTCGCGCAAGGAGAAGACTTCCAGTAGGCCCGCTGTGTTGTGGTATCATCCCAAGATCATAAACATAATTGAGAGAAAAATAAGTTTCTATTACTCACAAGAATAAAAACAAGAGATTTACAAACTCTCAAACACTCCACAACTCTTTCTTTGTTGTGTTTCAACACTTACAAGGTTGATTGATCACACTCTTGGATGATTCAAATGAATGAAATGAGTAGTCTATTTATAGGCAAGATTAAGAACACCATCGTTGAAATTGTGTGTGTGAAAGAGGAAAGTGGTTGGAAGCCTTCTTCAATGGTGTGCCATTGATTTCTTCATTGGTGTTCTTTTGATTTCTTCATTGGTGTGCTTGAATTGCATGTTGCATGGAACCTTCAATTCTCCCCTTTCCATGCAAGTTCCGAACAAGCATTCCTACTATGTCTCTGCATAGCTTAAGTTTATCCAGTGTAACCATTTTTGTCAACATGTCTGATGGATTTTCCTTTGTATTGATCTTCACTAGTTTCAACAGCTGTTGATCAATCTTCTCGCGTATCCAGTGATACCGAACATCAATATGCTTTGTGCGGGCATGGTACATAGAGTTCTTGCTTAAGTCAATTACACTTTGACTATCACAATATACCTTGTACACTTTCTGCTTGATCCCAATTTCATGGAGATAGCGTTTTAGCCACAACATTTCTTTACCAGCTTCAGCGTCAGCAATATATTCAGCTTCTGTTGTGGATAAAGCAACACACTTTGGCAATCTTGATTGCCAAGAAATGGCTCCCCCTGCAAAAGTGTAGACATAGCCTGAAGTAGATTTTCGACAATCAATATCTCTAGCCATATCAGCATCAGTATATTCTTCAAAAACTGGATCAGCTCCCCCGTAACAAAGACATAACTTAGAAGTACCCTTCAAGTTTGACAGCCTCCCAATGCTCCTTCCTGGGGTTAGAAAGAAAACGACTCACTACACCCACTGCATGAGTAATATCTGGCCTTGTACACACCATTGCATACATCATACTTCCAATTGCTGAAGAGTATGGCACTGCAGACATCTCCCCCATCTCTTCCTTGGATGTTGGACATGATCTTTTGCTCAACTTGAAATGATTCGCAAGTGGAATACTTACTGGTTTGGCATCACTCATATTGAATCTTTCAAGTATTCATTCAATATACTTCTCTTGAGATAGCCATAACTTGTCGTTCTCTCGTTCTCGAGTAATCTGCATCCCAAAAATCTGTTGAGCCTTTCCTAAATCTTTCATATCAAAAGACTTAGAAAGTTCTTTCTTCAACTGACTTATCTTCTCTGCATCATTCCCAACGATCAACATGTCGTCCACGTAGAGTAGAAGAACTATGAAAGCCCCGTTTGAGTATCTCTTGATGTAAACACACTCATCTGCAGTAGTCTTCTTGTAACCTTGACTCTTCATGCATGAGTCAAACTTCTTATTCCACTTCCTTGGTGCTTGCTTCAGACCATGCAAGCTTTTAGATAGCTTGCACATGAGGTTCTCACTTGAAACCTCAAAACCTTCTGGCTGCTGCATATAGATTTCTTCATTCAAATCTCCGTGAAGAAAAGCAGTCTTCACATCCATCTGTTCAATCTCCAAATTCATAC